ACTCAATTTCCTTGAAGGCAGCTAGCCCAGAATGGCCAACTCTCAAATTTCTAAGGTAATAGATAATGGGAAGCCTGGAATGCAGTGGATATTTGAAACCCTTAGAATGCAAAGCAGTCATTTCAGCCATTCAAGGTCCTTATGATTTGCTTTACAAAATAGCTAGTAATAGGGAGATGAATCAATGTACTTGAACTTCTCAACTATTCTCACTATATCTCTATGAAAGTAAGAATGGCTGTGAAATGAAACCCAAAAAGCCCCTAAACAAAAGAGGACAAAGGTTTAGGAAATCCACCAGATCCGGTCTGGCCTCTAAGTTCTTCCAACCTTCCCTCCACTCTCTTATCCCAGCCAAAGCAGCCCTATTGATAATTAAGATACCTGATTGCAAATTGGGCAATAATTCAGTGTGTTAACAACTAAAATGTAAGTAACTTCTCTGGGCCTCAATTTCCTCATTTAAACAGCCTGAGAGTGCCTTTGAAGATTATTATTATTTTTATCATCCTGTTCTCAAACCTATTTAAACATTCTTAAGTAAGGTAACATGTGACTGTTCTCTCCCACTGAGGAAATAAATTTCTTGGGACTTTTTAAGGAAGCTTTAATAAGTGATCATAAACTTTTAATCCAAATATTTATAATATTTATGATATTGTTGAGTTATTATGGACAGTTCTTGCTAAGAAGGAAAAAGGAAACTTTACAGAATTTACATAAAATGAGCATTTTCTTTGTCAAACATACTCCACTGTGATGGAAACAAAGCTATTCTTGAACTACATGTAACTAAAATATTTTAGCTGCCAGCAAGAGTGGTTTATTGGCTGTGGTAATAAAGATCAAATTATGCTGGAGGTTGAGTTAGTCTTACTCTTCAAAAACCAAGACTACTTTCATCTGAAAAAAATTCAAAACCTCCAAACTTAGAACAAAATGTGGAGCATGGAGAAGAAAAGAAGTCTACCCATAGACCTTTGGCTAACGTTTTCCCCTTACTGACTCCCTGAACCATTAGTTCTACCCTTATTTCTCACAGTTTAGAAATTTTTGCCCAATTACTATATTCAATGACATTTGAGAGAAATTTTCTATTTTTACTCAGTGATGTACTAACTTATCACATGAAGAGATTTAAAATAACAATGTAGATCCCTAAGATGTTTCTTCCTAGTTCTGGAAAGATCTAAAATACAGTAATGGAAACATATTACCTAGATATCTCTTGCTTTATAGGCTGAATAGACAAATAAATTTGATGTTAAATATGCTTTTAATTTTGTCAGTTGCTTTTTCTTCTTCTCATTCTCTCTTTTTTCTACTTTGTCTCTCTTTCTCTCTCCCTTACTCCCTCTCTCCCACCCTCCCCTCCCTCCTCTTCTCTCCCTTCTCTTCCCTCCCTCTCTCTCTGGCTCCCCTTTCCCCTCTCCCTCTTCATATCACTCCCTCTCCCTTTCTCTCTCCATCACCTTCTCCCTCTCCCTCCAGTTCTCCAAAGGGTAGGTTGATTCTTCATTATGAATAAGAAATGGAAGCAGAAATAAAAGATACAATAAAGGGACTGAGAATGTTAGAGTTAGGGTTGATGGTTGGTTGGGCAGGACCTCAAGACTAGACTGAACACAACAAAAGAATTTAGTAGTTGGAGGGGTTGCATTGGAGAAGAACTTCTTGAAAGTTTGCTAATTGAAATTGGAAATTGAGAAATATTCAGAAGAGTGACAACCGGGAGAGACTGGAAGAATGCAGTCTGTTGGGGGTTAATAACAAGAATAAGTAGATACCTTCAAGGTGAAATAGTTCCACTGGACTAGTAACCTCTGATTTGGCTTGGAGCACAGGGCAGAAAGAGACAATATATTCTGATTTTCATAGACTTCTGCAGAAGACAGAAACATGCGCTTACTTGATTATTCTTTAGTTGTTCTGGGTATTTATACTATAAGAATTTTTTAAAATATTTAGGTCAAGTTTCCATGTAAGGAAATTCTGATTATCTGTGTGTCTGTGGAAGACGTCACTCAACCAGCACTATGAACTAGGGATCTGAAGGGAAGGGACCTGCCCAATCCTGTGCCATCCTCATTGCCTCTGACATACTGTAACAATAGCCCATTGTTATAGTCACTGTGTCAATCCAGCTTGTTAAAAATCTCCCTCTCTTTCACTAACCCTGCACCACACTTGGTATTTTTCTCCAATGACTGGCTGCTCTTAACGGCCGGTGATCAGTGTAGGTGAGTTGGCTCAGAATCATGAACATCCCATGTAGAGCAGAATGACATGTTTCCAGGTTATGTACCATCTTCACAATCATTGGTATCTTCAAGTTCATCTCTGTGGCCATTGAATGTATTTAGTGCCTTTCAACCTAACGAGCTTGTATTCAAGTGTTCCACCATCCAGGGATGAGCCAGAGGATTTCCGTTGGCTAATTTTCAGAAGTCAGATTGCCACACTTTTCTTGACCATCTCGGTGTAGAAGCTGCAGTGAAACTAGTCCATCAGGGGTGACCCTGCTGTATTTAACATAGTGATGGCCAAATTTCTAGCTTCACAACAGCACGCAGGCCATACTACTTGTCAAAGTGGTAGACATGTGATAGGTAGATAGCATGTTAGTTGCTGTGTGCCCTCCAGTAGGAACTGATTCGTAGCCGACCCTCCCACAAGTTGTCAGAGGCTAGACATCACATAGGAGGCAATTGCCCACCTTTCTACTATGGAGGACAGTGGATTTGAACTGCCTGTCTCTGGGTTGACAATGTAACTCCTTACCACTAGGCCACCAAAACTTAATGGTAGATAAGTTGTTGTTGTTGATGTCACATGTTTTCAAGTTGAAACCAACTCATAGTTGACCCTCAAGGGGGTTTTCAGAGACAGTAAATTGTGTGGCAGTTAAATGCCTCTCTTTTTCTCAAAGAGCAGCTGGTGGATTCACACCCTGCGCTTTTAGGTGGGCAGCACGGCTCCTTACCACTAGGTAATTAGAGCTCCCTGGTAGATAAGTAGGTAAGTAAAGATACATTTGCACAAACACACAAATAAATACACATATAAATCACATATTCACACACACACACACACACACACTTAAAATTTGCTTCTATTTAATAAGTAACAAGGAATACGCAGGGTTTCCATTGTTGTTGTTGTTGTGTGCCGTCTAGTCATTTGCAACTCATAGCGACCTTAGGTAAAAGAGCCCTAAACGGTGCTCTATCCTGTGCCAATCTCATTGCCTCTGACACACCCATCCCGATCACCCCAGTCACTGAATCAATCCATCTCATAGAGGGTCTTCCCCTCCTGCGCTGTCCCTCCACCCTCCCAAGCATGATGTCCCTCTCCACAGACCCGTCCCTCCTGGCAACATGTCCAAAGTATGTCAGATGAAGCCCCAGAATCCTTGCCTCCAAGGAGCAGCCTGGTTTAACCCTCTCTAGGACGAATCTATTTGTTTTCTCAGCAGTCCATGGTACATTCAATACTCTTCTCCAGCACCACAGCTCAAAGGCGTCAATTCTCCTTCTATCCTCCCTAGTCATTGTCCAACTCTCTGATGCATAACAAGCGATTGCAAATACCATGGCCTGTATCAGGCGCATAATTTTTGCATTCAATGAAGAATACATAAATGAGTGACTTTCTCCCTGGTTATTAGCAAAATATCTGGGCATTATATTGGTTTTAGTGCTTATTGATACGAAGAACCTGAGTGATTACTTTCAAAGAAAGTATCTATTAGAAATTAAAAGGCGCATTGACATGGGAAAGTCTGCTGTTAGGGACCTCTCCAAAGTGCTGAAGAGCAGTGGTGTCTCTCTGGAGACTAAGGTGTGTCTGATACAGGCCATGGTCTTCGCAATCACCTGTTATGCATCAGAGAGTTGGACAATGACCAAGGAGGATAGAAGGAGAATTGATGCCTTTGAGCTGTGGTGCTGGAGAAGAGTATTGAGAATACCATGGACTGCTAGGAAAACAAACAGATTTGTCCTGGAGAGGGTTAAACCGGGTGGCTCCTGGGAGGCAAGGATTCTGAGGCTCCGTCTAACTTACTTTGGACATGTTGTGAGGAGAGACCGGTCCTTGGAGAGGGACATCATACTTGGGAGGGTGGAGGGACGGTGCAGGAGAGGAAGGCCCTCTATGAGGTGGATTGATTCAGTGACTGGGATAATTGGGATGGGAGTGTCAGAGACAGTGCGATTGGCACAGGACAGCGCGGAGTTTAGGGCTGTCGTACATAGGGTCGCTATGAGTCGCAGGCAACTCGATGGCACATAACAACAACAACAATTCAATCTCTTCAGTTTATTTTCCTTTCAGTCTTGCAATTTTCCTGTTCCTAAAAGTCCTAAAGAAATCAAGTGTCTTTTAAAACATTATCACAGTAAATGTGTGTTAGGCAACAATATGTGTTCAGAAGCCATGAAATGATGTGTTTAGAAGGCAATGCAAGAGGTAGGTCATGCAGGCTCTAGACCCAGCTGAGTCCTAACATTAGTGTGTAGTCGTCTTGGTCAAGCCTAATGACATCACAAGTGTCGATTCTTCACTTAAAGTATGAGTAATTAGGTTGCACCTTACAGTACCACCATCCAATGCTCTTGTGATTTCAATTTTCAGCTCCAGGGACACACAGAGCTCTCTGGACACTGACTTGGGAGACGAAGCAGATTTTAGTTGTATGTTAATGGTGACTATTCCATTTTGGGGCAGTTTATTTTCTCTTTACTGAGTTGATTAGACATAATTGTGATCTCAGGATGTTGTGTTTTATACACATTGAATACCTGCATGGGAGAAAGAAAGGAGAAAAAGACCACTGGAGAATTTTGTAAGCACACTATTTTTGTGATTTATTTTACCTCCATTTTATGCAACATGGTCTCATATTGCTTAGACGGAAGAACAGTGTCTTCTTGGGCATATCTCATTACAAAACCTGTTCATTGTTAACAACCATCTTCTGCCTCATGTTTCCTTAGATTTGGGAAGAAGAAAGAAGATAAAGGTGGAAAGGCTGAGCAGAAAGTCACTCTGAAGCATGGTGGTCTCCGAGAAGAGGAGCTGGAAAAAATGAAAGAAGAGCGGGAAAGGTGAGCAGAGATGCGGAGCTCCTTATTTTATTTACATCCGGCATTTTAGTTCTCGTAATAATCAACTGGAGAAATCTCATTTTAAGAATCACAGAGGTCAACCAATCGGAAAGGACAAGCACCTGATATAAAAGGACTCTGCCTTTCCGGGGAATTTTTATTCTATTTTGAGAAGAAATTAACTTCTTACTTTTATTATATCAGTATACCTAATTCCATAATATGCTGTCCCTAATGTCAGCTATGCCAATTCATATTTTCTTTGTGGTTTCAATGATGAGTTTGGGGGAGAAGTTTATGGCAATTTTGATACTGGTATTTAGAACTATCACATTCCCATAGTCTGTTCCTAATTTCTCCCAAGCTGTTGTGTGCCTCCTTAATTTTATTCTGCTAATTCCATATGGATGCTGTAATTTGAGAAGTACATGTTTTACATTTTAAAAAAAGTCTTGTCTTTTATTAGGGTACATGCTCGCTGAAAAGTACAGAGTATGTCGCCCATCTGGTGAAGGGCCAGTCTCATTTACTGCAGTAATGGCGGTGTATGAGAGCTGATTTCTCCTGTTTGAGGAGCTTAATGTTCCATTTGGACAAGAGGTCCTTCACATATCTTTTGATGTTAACTCTGGCATTTATCCTAAATGAATGTGTAAATGGCTGATTTTGAAACACGTAATTGAATATTCAGATTCCTCCTGAAAATTCTTCCCTGACAACTAAACGTGCCTGAAGAGAAATGAAGATTATGATGAAACCAGCATTACATTTTAAGTATTTTATTCTGATTTCATCCCATTAAAAGTCAGATGTTCCCCTCTTTTCATTTGCTTATTAGTTGCCGTATTTTGTAAGGAATCCATTCTTTTATTTACTTTCAAATTCTTGCATATGTACTAAGAAAATTATATATATATTTATTTATTTGCCCCTAGCATATAGCAGACTAAGAGTATTCATGATTTGCCTTTGACCCTGTTTTAGGCTATGTCCTCTACAGGGGTAAAACCACTGGAAAATATATGTATATGGAGGGAGGGGATAGGCAATTTCAAGGAAATAACTCCTGCAGTCAGTCATGGAACCTGGAAAAGTCCTAAATCTGTCAGTCAGGCATCAGAATGGGGCCTCCCCTCTGACTCATGCAGTTGCAGTGGCTTTATGAACCCCAAATCCAAAGGTCAAAAGGCAAGCTTCTAGTTTATGTCTGAAAAATGAGAGATGAGGTAATAATGAGAACAGTGTAGGCTCGGGGAGACTTTTGCCAGAACATTCTAATATACTGAGCGTGTGCTGCCCGGCCTCCAAGAAACTCCCCTTGATCATGAATTGGAGGATAGTTGCCTAATACTGAGGTGCATGGCCAGTGCCAAGTGGACACATAATATTAACCATCACGCCTCTCTCTCTTCTATTCCTGGTGAGAAGACTGACTTGATGAGTAAGGAGGGAGAAAGCCTATTTAGTTCTTTCTCATTGTCGAGAGGTTGATAAGCTCAGCTCCAGGGTCAGTGGAGCGGTTAAAAGGAAATCAAGTACTTTACATTGTTGTTGACTGTTCACCTGGCAGAGCTGCCCTCAAAGAACACAAAGATGCATTCTCCATCATAGCCCCGAGATCCAGTAATCCTGTAATGTAAAACGTAATTCAGGCTAAGATTTTAATGCACGTATTGGCAAAGGCATCTGTGTGATGAGCCTGCATCATAGATCTTCGCTGCTCCCTGACTCCACTTACTGTGGCTTTGTGTCCCATGCCTCATCCTCAGGAAATGGAACTGTTTGCAGGAATGCAGACTTCACATTTTTTTGTTCAGCTTACTTCTTTCTTGGGTATGGCGGAGGAAAAATAGTCCTTAGTTGCTGGGGAGCTGTGTGCCAGGTAGAAAATTGATAACCCATAAAATAAGGTGGGTTGTCTTGAAGCAAGAGTTCATTTCCTTTCTGGTTTTACCTTGAGGAAGCAGGTGCCTGAGGGAGTTTTGTTCTTAAAAGCAGGGCTGTAAATTTGCCTCAGCTGGCTTTATAGACTTCAAGTCCAATTTTCTTAAAATATTTCTGGTCAGACTATTGAAAGAACTATACTATTAGCTTCCACTCAGGCCACTTCCCACATGTGAATGCATAAAACACATCGGATATGAATTTCCTAGAGACAACATTGTCTCAGTCATGTGTTAGGAGAAGAAGTTGGAGGAGTTGATTTTATGGTTGAGTGCTATAGAATTAATGACCAGGGACTTTTCAACAAACCAGGGCCTCAGGGCCATGGAGGTTGGAGGTGGGGGGCTGAGCATTTGGCATTACTCCCAACCCTGGAGTTCCATTCCTCGGCTTGCCATTGTCCACAGGAAACCAATTCACAACTCTTAGAGAACTCAGCAAGAGCATCACTCTTCATGACATAGCCATGGCAGGCAGCAATAGGATAAAATAAGAAATAGTATATAAAGGAGCCAGAGTTATCACTTTTTCCCCTAATATGTTTAAGAACTGTTTTCTTAAGATGATTTAGGCCATACTATTGCTTACATATTCCATCTTAAGTGGGATAAATATTTAATAGTTTATCCTTAAGGTAACTCTTTTTTTAGAAATAGTTAAGGCACTATGGGTGCCAGCCCTTAGCAGCACATTAAGGCCAAGTGTTAAACTTCAAAAATGTTGTGACTCATTTGTTAAACGATTGGCAGTTTGAAGTTGGCTGTGGTAGAAGTATTTATATCACAAGATTTGGAAAAGGCACTGAATAGGAATTACATTTTTTTTCCAAAGAGCCTGTTTACCAGTGAACCACTATAGGCCTATACCAACTCTCTTCCATATTTAATCTGGAAGATATTATCTTTAAAAAGAGGCAAAATAAATAAATTTAAACAATACGCATCCAAGTCAAACCATATGGTTTCTTACCACAGTGTTTCTCAAACTGTGGTCCAAATTTGTAGAATCAGAACCTTGGGAGTTGGGGCCAAGGAATCTATCTTTAATAGGCAGGCTCAGGATGATTCTGCTGATTTGAAGAGACAGTGTTTCAGCTAGATTAAACCATTATTTTCTGTGAAAGTTGATCCATACATTCCTTCCCACAAGGGGACTGAGTGAGCCAGTCTATAAATACTATTAGCTCTCCTCATGTACCCTTTCTGAAGCATCCTCTCTGACTGGCAACTTTTTATGTGAACAGAAGCTTTAGCCGTGCTCATTCACGTAAGAAAATATCGAACATTCCCTTCCCGCATCGCAGTAACCCCACACACATGTGCACAACAAACGTATAAAAACAATGTGAATTCACTAAGAAAAATTTAGAAACAAACCAAAATGTAAGGAAGAGTATTCAACTCATGTGTGATGCTACCATAACACTTTTTTTCCCTACAAAATAGTTTGCTTTTCCCCACAGCTTTACATTATATTGTGAGCATTTCCCTACAGCATTAAAGATTTTTAAATAGCACCACTTTATGACTGCCTGGTTTTGATTGTTTTGGTCAAACATTCTTCTAAGTGGTATTGCACTAGTCTGTCCATTGCTGTACAGAGGTAACTCGTGGTTGCTGTGAGGCTGAACACTGTGACACTGATGACAGTGTTTGGGGGTGCTCCCCAGTTAAAACAAGCTTGGAAGCAGGAGTGGCATCCACTTCCGAAATGGCTTGCCTCCAGAAACTCTCTGAACTTGGAGAAACGATGAAAGTTATATAAGTGTTCAGGTTTTTGTTCATAGGGTTGCTATGAGTCATCTACAACTCGACAGTACTTAACAACAACAACAAGTATTCTTTGGGCTCTACACTTATTTTTTTTTTTCTATTGTTGAACATTTAGTTTACCTCTGGTTTTCACTTTCAAAACAATTTTTCTTTTAAAAAATAATTCTTTTTAAAAAATTTACATTTTTAAAAAATATTTATAGTATTGTTTTAGATAAAGCAGTTATCTTTCTGTATTATTTCCTCTTAAGTCATAGAGTTCCTTATTGAAAGTTTGTTTTCCTTATGTTTAATTCTTGGGTCAATTGAACCTCACAAGTTGAACTTTAAGACTATAACATTTAATGTTATTAAATTTTAAGGCTATAATACTTCCTCCACTCTGTAATATTTTCCCTATGATTTCCATGTATCTCTTTTTCATTTATGTAGTTTCTAACACAGAGTTGTTTGAGTGTTATCTGTAAATAGCATGTTCATTGTTAAATTATCAAAAACTTTTTTTTAAAAAAGAAGCATTATTATATTACTCAATTAAATTGGGGGACTTAATGCAGCACATAGGACAGCAGCTCTTGTTAGGGACAACTCTGTCTCTCTCCAGTGGCCATCTCCACTATGGCTGTGGATATTCTTTGTTGTCATTACTTCAGCTTGGAAATTCCTTTTGGAAACTACTAGATAGAGGCCAGCAATGCTGCTAAACATTTTAAAGTGCAGAGGCTATCCATCCCTCCTCCACCCCAACAATGAACTAACTAACTTAACAATGTCAACAATAAAGAGACTGAGGAAGCCTGCTCTACTCTCCTGACTTCGTAAATTAAGGATATTCTCCTGAACATCAAGATTGTGCAGTCCTGTGATATATTGTGGATAAGCTCCAGAAATGTATACCAGATGATGTAATTGTAGAAGGATTTTAGCTCTTTGAAAAACTTTACCCAAAGATTGCAAATTAATATTTCTGTCATATAAGCTTGTAAGAGTAAAGTTTTTAGCAAAAAATATTAAGTGTAGCCTGCTGAACATTTCTATAAATGGTGCTGACCTGTTCATCAGGCTGTGAATGCCAAGAAGCTACAGGGGTCGATAATATGTCCGATGACAGAATCTTCTGGAACTATGGAGTGAATCAAACACAAAGCGACTTAATAGGAAGGAATGTCAAGTCATCTTTTTAGGTCCAAAAATGAACTGTACAAACACAGGATGTGGAAGGTTTGACTTAATACCAAATATATGAACGTTTGCCTGATGGTTTTAGTTGAGGGTAAGTTTAGC